GATAAATTTATTCGCAGCATTTAGTTGCTTAATATTAATAATAATAATTATAATGTATTCATAACCGTGAAGATAAAACGATGATTAATAGCGATGACTGTTAGCTGTGCACGATTGCAGCATTGTAAGTGCAAAATCAGAATGAGGAAACATGATGGATGAGCGATTAACAAGCACATTTCTAATTGCTTCGCGTAGTGAATTAGTGGCAATTTTCTAGACGCGTATTCGCGCGGATTACTTGGCTAGAAGCAGATAATGTGCGTTTCGACAAATCTCTATCGGGTCAAGGATCCTTGATCTTTCATCCCTCTCGCCTGAAAATGCTGCCCTGACGTTTGTCGTATAAATCATCCCGGTAGCTCGAGACTCGCGCGATATGCTGAGATGTAACAAATTCCTATTCCTACCATTTCGCGTTCCAGTTCTGCCTTGACGTCGCTCGATTTCCCATTTCCCTTCGCCTAGGTATAAACCACGTATATAATTGGAAGTATCCATCTATCAGTAGGAAATGTTTTCCGTATTGCCGATAAGATATTTATTGCGTAGAAGATATTTTGATCATCTATATCTTAAATTACATCAATTTAACTTTAATTAAGTGTCAATTTTATTTTAATGAAGTAATTAATTTTTAACTTTCTTCTAATAAAGTAATTAAACTTTAATTTTAGTTAAAATAATTTCTGACACAAAATCGATCAACTTTTTTATAGACATCACGCACGTTAAAAAATATACATAAAGTATTTAATTTTTTGACATAAATTCATGTTTTTTTAATTTTGTACTGTATATTCTAACAATTTAAACGCAAATTATATTGAACATTGAATATTACGTATTGAAAATAAGCTTCTATATATTTTTTTTACAAAATTACACTTTGGTGTCTTAAATTTCCATCTGTCTCATATTACCACTTTCTTCGCTGTAACTATTTACAAAGCTTCCACTGCTTTCTCTAAAGATAGAAACTTTTAAGAATTAGTTAAAGAATGAGATTCGATATTTTAATAGTAATATAGATTGAAGTAGCAAATATTATGCTTGTAAGAAGCTAACATGTTAAATAATTGAGCGACTCGATATTTGCAAGTAATTATCAGAACAAACTGCACTTTATAGTTAATAGATGACTAAAGCTCGAAATAACTTATTGAATCTAAAATCTCAATTTATTTATTTTCAATTTACGACAATCAACGCTTTATTTTCAAAATACGACAACTGTGTCATGAGTAGAATGAACTGCGTCATTGCAGAATATTTTATGTAATTCTGAGAAAACCATTTTGTTAGTATTTATTTAAGAATACCTTCAACCTGTTGAAAACGAATATGTTTCAACATTTAACTAATTTTAGCGAAATTATATGTTTAATAATTTATATGTATAACAACTGTAATTTCGCAAATGCAAACTGCATAGCAGTGCAAATGTATAATAACAGAATTGCGGCAGTCCACGGAAAATGATATACACATGAACAAAATGGCCACTTTTAGTAAATTCACTAAATTTATTCTAAATTTTGATTTTTCCAATATTCAAACTTCGAGTTCGAGTATCGAAATTAACAAATTTAATTTTAATCCAAATATAAAAAATCTTTTCTGCGAAAAATTAACAATTTTTTGCATTTATATTCAAGAAATAAAACAGAACAATAATTTCAGACACAATTCTTCTATATCCATTGGTTTTAAATAAAAAAACAAGCATTATGAATAATATGCAATTAGAAATGATATTTTTGTTAATTATTTTTATTGAAACACATTGATACGAGTGGCTCTGCAGGGCATATCGCCGGAGTACCTCTTTCATTGTTATGTTGGATTGAATTTGTAAACACGACAAAATCCGATACTGGCACTGATACGGTTTAAAATCAGGATAGCGAATCGTAGGATTTACAACACTCTTGTGGCATTTTACAACGTTTGCGTAAAATGCTTCCTGACATATAAAAAATTTGCAGTAAAAACACCGGATGCATTTACTGTGGAATAAAAATCCGGGCTCTAATATCCCGTTCTGCTTAACTGGAGTAGCACCGTTTGATATTATCTTTTGTTACTACGAAAAAACAGTTCACACAACATACAAATGTTTAAAATTTTTTATTCGCAAAAATAATTAACAATCTGATAATATTTAATTAAAATCTTTGTGCGTTCTTAACGAATCTTTTATAAACATCGCAATAGCAAATTTGTTACTTTTTTTTTTATATATTAATTGTTATTAAACAAATTTGATTATAAAAATGATAAACAACTTACTAGAATTACTAGATTGAATGACTTGCAATATAATACAATTAATTATGTAATAAATTACACATACATTCATAATACTGCGATATCATGACGAATGTGTTCTCATATCTAGCCTTTTTTATCTTATTTACTAAACATAATAATGAAGAGGGTGTCTAATTTCTTGTGTAACGAAAGATACTATAAATAAGTTATTCTATAAATAAATAACTTCCTGTCTCATGTGCTGTTTCCAAGTATATTGCGCGCACTTTGATAACAAACTCGTCGTCTTAACAACTTAACGATTCTTGGGCAGCTAATTGAGTTTATCGAACGTCAAGTTGCATTAAACATCTTTCTTAGTAAAGTTGCAAGATTGATGTTTTCGAAATATTTCACTCAAAGTGACATACCGCTAATTTCACCTACTTTCTCGTCTGTAGTATTAAATGACGGTAATGCCTGCCGTTAGTTTATTTTAATCGATTTACTCATGGAACTCATTTGCCAAAGTTGTGCTTGCACAGAGAAAATGTTTCAACCTAAAATAATTGATTCTTATACATTGAGATTAAATACACGTATGTATCTGTATACTTTCTTTCACTTATTTATGTTACATATTTGTGCGTGTATTCATGACAAAGTAATCTCTATTGCAAATTTTTTGATTTTGATTTTTTTTTTTTTAATTAATGATGTGTATCTTTTTTCTTAAAAAAATTGCATAATAATATGCAATTGACGCAACTTTGCGATGACGCAGGATCGGAAATATTATCAATATGAATTTCAAATTATTGTTCTATCCATAGTAATAAAAATTGTAATTTAACATGAAGATACAGCAAGAATATTATTCCATGAATTTTCAAATTTGATGCATCAGCGAACGTGTTTGTGTTAAACCGCATGAGAGTAATCTCATTGCAAGCGTTAGCTACTGAAAATTTAACCAATGGAAATGTGAACGCCATATGTGCTCATGGATTTTCATCAAATTTTCAGGGGAGAAATATCGAGACAATATTTTCCACCAGTAATAGAACTCCTCAAAACTTTCCTGATGTTAAAATGCTTTATTCGCTTCACGCGTTCTGCGTACCAATTCCAAATATTATGTTTTATACAAATCTCTGTAAATCAAAATTCATACGATAAGAAATTTATTTATATACAGTTCAATGAGTGGTAAGCTATTCTCTCAATGTAAATTCTCATGCTTTTTTTCTTTCATTTACACCCTTACACACAAAAAAAAACCGATAAGTCACAATTCGCCACGAAGGATGAGTTAGACGCGGCGAAACATGATATTGAAGTACGGAAGTGGATGAGCGTTTGCTCGAAACTTTATGTTCGCAATTACCATATTTATATCACGCAGAGCACGAATGAAGAAATTCACGAAAAATTGAATTTGTACTGCACTAATCTAGTTTCTGTCGTCCAATTAAAAACTTTATGCTAAAAATGGGCACACCTGTGCTTTATCACATGGAATACTTTTTTCAAAAATAGATGACTATTTCTTTATCGATATTACTATACGTATTATCTTTATCGTGCACATTTCTCTTTATCAATGTCATTATAATAGCAGGAGGAAAGTCGAGTTATCGTACGACTCTGCTGAGAAAAAGAAATGACATACCAATTTCCGAATTGTGCTATTCAGCAGCAATTGTTGTTACGAAAGGTATAAAGGCGGAAGCGCGTCGTGTGGCACGACAGAATTTTATTTTTCTTTGTATTCTTATGGAACGACGCAAGCTGGAACTAAAGATCCCCTTCCATAAAAGCCAAAATACACGTCGCAGTAGTGCGAAGCGAAATAGAGCGACCGAGTTGATAGTTTTCGTGACAGAAGTACTCCACTCTTGTGTATATGCGCAAATTGTCACTTCGACTATTCTCAGAAGAAACAGTAGATATCGCGCTGAATAAAAATAAAAAGATGTGTTTCAACAAAAATTGCTACTTTTGACTTACATTTCAACATTTTATGCTTTGCATCAACTAATGTAATTTATAATCTATCGACGATACAAATCGATATAAATCAGCATCGGCTATGCAAATTTAATCAATTTCGCGAAAGTTTAAATAAGAATTGTTTGTTTTATTCAATATTGCGGTGAACAAATTGCAGCTTTCGATAAATATTTTCCTTAATTGGCTTCCTATTTGTATACGTAATTTACCAAATACAATGAGCTGCGCTTTATTTGCATATTAATGAACAACGCGGATCCATATAATGTACTTAATCGCAGCTTAATTTACTTTTCGTTAATTTTGATGAAATGCACATACTGTAATTTAGAGTAAATGTAACACAATGTGAGATGATTGTACAACAGTTACATACCTACGTTTTACAAAATATTATATGTGCATTACATTTTACGCGCGCCATAAATTGCACTCGGAAAAAAAACACGCACGATCGTAAAGAGACAGTCGGGCTGAAAAATCCGCTATTCTCGTATCTTGGGGTGAAATTCTCCGACAAGCTTTCAGACTGGCCGCGATGATGCGAGCATCGGATGCGAATCTGTCGCGGGGGTGGGTGCAACGTAGAAGGAACCTGCGTTTAATCGGACGCGAGCCATGAGAGAAAGAGGCCCTCGGGGCGCATGCGCCTCCCTTTTACACCCCCTATGAACCACCGGTAGCTAGTAGCACGCGTCGACGTCGACGTCGTCATTGTCGTGGTCGTCGTCGTCGTCGTCGCCGGCGCCGCGACGCCAAGTGGCCACGGCCGTGTGCCGTGTCTTCCTCGAGTAGTGCGCGTTCACCTGCCGCGACGACACGTTTCTCCTCGTCGCGAATCCACGTTCCAAATTACTTTGTCACGCGAGTTTGTAGCGTATGCACTGTCGATCCGTCGTACACGTGACACCGTCGTATTTCTTAGAATTTTCATTTTTTGTCTCTCTTACGGATGTTTTACGTTTGTACACGTTGCACTTCGCTCTCTTTTCATCCTCTTCCAATCGAATCTTGTTCGAAGAGGGACGTTTGAATGCTCGGAGGAAGTTATCAAATGCCACATGGCAGGCACATCGCGCACGGCAGGATATTGAGGTAAAAAGATAAACGAGCGTGTGGTCTGCATGCGGGAGAGCATGTTGTGTGTATAGCACATTTGGAATTCAAATTTTTGGGCGGAAACTAGGATCTCCCGCCGTGCGAATGAATCGCGTCACTGAATTTTAGATGCATTTTGAAGCAGTGATGCTTTATTAGCTAGACATTTTTCCGCTTCCACTGATATCATTTTTGTACGTTGAAAAAGCCGGTACGCGTTATGATGAACAGAAAAATATAAAGAGATACAAACATGTATCCTATTTATATCAAAGTATAACATATTTTAAAAGTACAAAGCTGTTTTTCTGAAAAAATATATTAATTCTTGGAAAATAACAGATATTCTATTAGTCTATTAAACTTTATTAAAATTTAAAGCAATGTCTTAAAATCGATCACAAAAGTAAAAGTTGAAATAAAAAGAAACGTTACTCTCTCAGTAATTATATACTCAATTGAATACTAAAAACAAGTTTCACAATTAAAATCAATGAAATACTACTATATCTTATGTTATTAAAGTTAAATATTATTTAAAATAATAAATTTTTATTCCTATATTTTTTGAATATTTGATTATATTTTCTGTGACAATAAAAAGTAAATATTATATATTCAATTTTCGTTTAATTTAAAATTTGTAAAAATTTTGTTAAGATCTTGTTAAAAGGCCAAGAAACAAACAGTAATTTTACATTACAAATATATTTGAATATATTTTGAATATATTTTGATTGTGTAAATACATTTAAAAAATTTTATGCGTCTCATAAAATTAAATTTTTATCCTTTTATGTATTTATGTTTTGTTAGTTTAATATTTCATTATATTCTCGCACACGCGAATAATTTTTACGAATTATAAAATATATTAAAAAAACAACAAAGATTAAATTCAAGTACGAACAAACAGAGAAACATAAATCTCACGTCGGATATATTTACAATTATCTGAACAAATGTAAATAAAATATTTAACATCATGGAATTGAAATAGATCGATCGGTATGAAATGATATCTGCAGTTCAAATTGTAGAGATAAGAAGCGCTGAATTAATACCGGCAGTGTTATTTGATATTTTACGTATTTTAATAAACGAGAATAAAAACGTAGTAGCAAAGACTTAAAATAGAAATCAAGAAATACATCTTTTTTTTTTATCAGTGCTTTTTGCATTTTGTATAAAAATATCGCGTAAATTATACGATTCATGAATGTTTTAATTAATTTAATGAGAACACATCATTAAATGATAGCATATACCTTTGCCTTATTTATGCAAAAAATAATATTTTATGCACATAATTTTTTAAAACTTTTGTGTCAGTTTTTAAAATAATCATATATTTTTAACTATATGAAAAAATAAAAATCTATTATTTATTATTTCTAGGACTCATTACGGTGTAAAATATACAAGTGGAATTATTTTTTGCATGCGTCTAATGACTCTTTATAAAACATTGTAAGGACGCTTGGATTTTATAATTTTTTTACCACAAAACAATTGCGAAGCGTGTCTCGTAAGTAGTATGAGTTCAACGCTTCCTTTCTTTCTATCCAAGATTTTCTCGAATCCAGAGAAAGTTATTGTAAGAATCCACGTGCACTCCGGATAAAGACTATTCGATTTTTATTTTCCAAATAAAAGCTGAATTTTTCGGTGTGCTACGGCAATTGCATACTCTGGACTTAGCGAGAAATAGAATTTTGTGAAAAATCATATAATTCGCGTTTCATGAAGAGAAAGTATTACTTCTATTAATATCTTTTTTTAATCTAGAATTGCAAAAAAACTCCATATTCGCATATATTTTATATACCTATTACATATTCGTTAAAATATTCGATAATTGATCGAAAGCAATCAAAACGCTATTGCACAGACAATCTGTCTAATAATGAACAATGTTTAAACAATGTTTCGTATGCGTATAATATTTTTTAAACTATCTGTTAGAAAAAAATTACACCTTCCTTCTTCTTCGCCTTAGTTTCTTTTATCACACAGTGCATTATACGAGGCATGTATAATGCTTTATCATTGTATGTCTTTTCTTTTCTTTCCGCGTTTCATTCTCTGCGTCATTCGTTATTGTACTCGTAGTGTGCAACCGCGCATACAACCCCTTGGCATATCATCCTTTTTGTTTCACTTTTTCCGTCAGAAGAAAAATATCTCATTGTTTCCCTGAGATATTTAGCTACCTATATATCTATTGTATAACTTGATGCATTACAATGTATTCATAAAAAGATTTGCGTAATTGAATGAGTATTCATTGATACATTGCAATATGGACATATGAATGTAGTATAAAGCTTTATTTTTGTTAAAAATTATGACTAAAAATTTTAATAACGTGCTTTCAGTATTTTTATTAATTCGTGGAATTGACATTTTTAATAATAATCATAAGACAATCGCTGGCAATTTACATTAGAAAAATTACCTCAATAACAATAATGCTAGAATTATTGTTATAGCAATATAAATTTTATACATAAAATTTGAATATGGACGCAATTGCGTCGAGTATGCTTTGGCTTTAACGCAGAGTTTATGTGCTCAATGGGAACAATTGAAGATCTTCCCTTTATATATAAGATTCCTTACTACTATTTGAAGAGAAGCAAACGGCAATAGCACATTTGCGACGAAAGTGTATAGATTGAATTCGGAAGTACGATATTAAAATCCTAAATAGCGTCACGTCGTACTTCTTTTTGCGACCGTTTATGACGCTTGCACTCAAAGCATCCCATTACACTGTACTTTGTAAAAGAACTTCCAAGAGGCTGCACTAACTGTAAAACTCTCGCATGTACAGGGAAAAAGAAATCGAGATTATAAAGACAGTCATTTTATAATTTCGATTTGTATGACTAAAAATGCCTTAAATTGTATTATATGTTAGATTATTTTATATATTTATATATATATATATATATATATCAATATGCATTACATAGAAAGAATATAAACAAAATTGTGCAGACTAACTTCTAATTTTCTCGAAAACTCACTTAAAAGTTTTAACTATGGTAGTTTTCAATGATTTAAGCCATTCCAGCAATTGCTGTTATGAACGATTACAAATATATTAAGGTCTTTTAACGTTTAAAACTTTTGAAAAATATAATTAAATTTCAATAAAAAATAAATTTAATTAAGTAGTCTCACGCAAATTAAATAATACGTCTTCGAAATAAGGAAGAGTATTCTAAAGACGCAAGAAAGTAGATACTGTTTAAAATTATATATATATATATATATATATATATATATATATATATATACATATATACACACATTCCCGCGTATATTATATATCATTCTGTGATTTTCATGAAAAAATATCTAAAAACAATAATAAATTATAGTAGGAATTATTTAGAAAAAAAAGAAATATTTTTATTGCATTTTTAAATTGCTCATGATAAATTTACTTAATAAATTTTTTATAAAATTATTTTTCTTAATTAACAAATCATACAACTTACCAAAAATATATTTTACTTTTTTTCAAAAAAAGAACAATTTTTCCAACCTTCCTAAATGGAAATAAAACATAAAAGTCACCGGAAACTAAAATTTAAACAGCAAAAAAATTAAAAAATGTCGCGTTGTCAATATTTGAGCCGGATTCACGTGTGCAAAACAAGATCCTTAATCTTCCGTAGATCCAATCTTTTTTTACGCGTCACGATTTGACACGTGACGCGCGTTAAGAGAGTCGGGAGAAAGCCGAGAGGCAACAGACTTGATAGGCATGGCCGCATCGCCTCGTTCAAACATGCTTAAGTAAATATGCATCAAGTTGTCTCGCGTGTCGCGACCCATGATCGATCGATGCGTCGCGCGTCAGACTGTAACGTCGTAATTATCGTCATAAATCTTGTCTGGCGCTACGCATTAGGGAAGTTAAGGTGTGAATTCACATGAATTCACGCGTCTATAATTAGCGTAGCGGCCGTTCAGGTCGACGGAGCTCATTTCGATCGTGTATTCCTCGCCTCGAGTGCTCACGTTGCTAAGCGATGAACGTCCGTCCTCTATCTCGTTTCTACCTGCTCCCGTTCCCACGACTTTGACGGCTATCTGAGAAATATAACTCGCAAATGTTCTCGACTATTTCCGATCTTTTAATTTTGCTATTGCACTTTACAGCGGCTTTTATCGTAAACCGTGCTTTATAACTTTCGTTTCTTCGCTCACAACATCGCCATTGAGCTTCGTGAAATATGGTGTCTCCGATCGTACGTTCATTTCAGATCTTCGTCTTTCCGTGCTCGAGTTACGGAAATAAGTAGAAAATTTTTAATGACGCATTTTATTATATTAACACACGAATAAAACCATAATATTGATCGACCGATGGCAATTTATGAGTAACATATATTTAAGCAAATAATAAAATAAAAAGCAATTCTGTCTTGTTGCTAAAACACACGACGGTATTAAATATTCGATTAATGTAACAAATGTCTTGTCACATATTCCCTTGAGCTTGTTAAAAATGTATACCTGCTAACTGCGACTAGCTTGGACCTTTGTTCTTAAATCCAGCAACGTGATATTTTTATTTTACAAATACACTCATACATATTGCAATCTTGCAATTGCATTTTCCTTATCAGAACATTCCTTTAAAACGTCATTCGTGCTAAGAGATGTCCAACGTCTCTAGCATACTTTTACTTCCAAATATACATAAGTTCGAATATTTGACAAATGTCGCTCGTGGGAATAAAGTTCGGATGTTCGGTGATAAGTGTGATAAAATTCAACGTGCAGAGGGTTTTTTCTTCATTGAATTTTGCAGCTTGGAAACGTAATAAAACTATTTTTTTCCTGTTCGTATAATTCTTTTACGTTACATATTTGCCGCGCACTTGTTATGCCGCATTGAATATATATTTTTACGAAATTCTTTTTCGTAAAATGCGAGATTGTTTACCGCGTAAAACGAAAATAGAACGGTTTGTACG